AAGGCCTCCGCACTGGCGTGGCCAGAATGGAAGTCTTCCGTGTGCATCCGTCCTCGTTCGAAGAGACGGTGAATGTGGCATTGAATGCCGAATTCAATTTTGAATCGACACGTCTTGGCTGAAATGCACACTCCAACAGCTTGTCGAGCGGGCCTATGCCCATGGATCTCAGCTATGCTGAGAGCGAGAAGACGCCGGGCGTCGACCCTGGTCCAGGGAGTGTCTACCGTAGCTGACGGTGCACAGTTATACACCCTCGTCAACGGTATGACGGGGGAGGAAGATGGCGACGTCCGCCTCGAGGCTATGCTTGCAGTAGATGCTCTTCTTGAGCTGGACGAGATGTCCCTTGAAGATTTCGGTAGTGCCCTGAAGGCAGGCGATTTGGGCGCAGTGGTCATTATACGACCGGACGAGGAGATAAACTCGTCATCGCTTCTGGATGAAGCGGTCTTTGGGGACACCAAGAGAGAGCTGAACTCACGAAGTGGATCGTCGATCCTACGGAATCCCTTAAATTCGTACTTTCCGTTGGTAAAGGAATTTAAAAACGTCGTCTTTAAAGACCAGCCTTCGGTCCTACCTCTGGGCCGAGGTGTGCGCCATGAGATCGACACCAGTAACTCAAATGACATTCTCTACCACGCTGCCAGCGTGATTCGTCAGATCATCTATTTGGGGATGGTCCGCAGTGGATATGTCTAAGCTGACAACAAATATCTTGAACAACGTTCGCCACAACTTATCATTAAGTATAAATATTATCTTGAAATGGTTTCTGTTATGCAATGCGGTAAGAAACTTTGTGGAGCACCACCTTGGATGTATCATTGTATGTCGCTGATAGCAGGGACGTAAGAAAATGCGCAGCGGGGCTGCTGTAGCTTTTTCGCTTAGCGAAAGCTTGGTTAAGGTCGGTGATCTACATTTTATACTTAGTCGCTGATAGCATTGACGTAACAAGGCGTGCAGCGGGGCTGCCGTAGCTCTTTTGCTTAAAGAAAGCTTGGTTAAGGTCGGTGACGTTCTATTTTATTTTTGTCAGTACGAGTGTTGCGGACCGCGATCCAATTACTCCAAGAATAATTACAACCATAAGTCAAGGCTGATAACTCTTCCGTTTAGAACGTAAACTATATTTTCTCGGTTTATTTGCGGCAAAGCCGCCTATATCTAAATCTACAGGTCTGTCTTATCAAAATGTAAAACCTAACCAAAATGCATAACTACTGGCTGTTCCAGCCACGTACTGACTTCTTGGCTAAGTTTAGCCACACCAATGTGTTTCACACCATAATGTGTAGCCCAAACCATTGTGTTATCTCACCATGTGAAACCCCGTTACATGGCGCGTAACATATCTTGGTGTACGTATAGTGTTCCATGGGCATTGTTCAGATGTTACAAAGTACTGGACTGATGAGAGTAATGGGAATTTGTGAAGGAGAGACCATTGGTACCCTTGTGTTACTAGCCTCACCGCGTGCAGCTATAGTTACACAGATAAATCAATTAAGAAAAAAATTAATTCTGAATAAATGTCACCCTAGAGAAGGTTGAACGTACTTAACATCTTTAGAAACTCTAGCTTCCGCTCCCGGTGCG